AAGTGAGGAGTGGGGCAATTTAGGAAGACGTGGTTTCATTGCATATGTTATCTGTTGGAAAGATTGTCATTTGGTGACTCTGTAGAAGATGTTCTATCAGTTTATGGATCCAAAATGCCTTTCCAGTAATCCTGGAAATGCTGCTGATCTCTCACATACCAGTAGATGTCCCCTTTCACAGGACTGAGAGGAGTGCAAAATCAGCAAAATGTGGAATTTCACGCTGTAAGCTGTGCAAAATTTGTCTGTGCCAACCTTATTAGATTCTAAACATCAAAGTTCTGTGAAATACGGATTTTTGCATAGCTTTGCTCTCTTTTTAGCATATATTATTTTTTTTTCTTTTTTAGGTGATGAAGGCGATAACTTCTATGTTGTTGATCAAGGAGAAATGGATGTAAGCATTATTGGTAGTTTATTAATAGACTTTTTTATCCCTAGCAGAAGAGTAGTCTGATATTTGTAGGCCTCTTCTACAGGTGCTTCATTTAGCAGCTTTTCTCATAGTAAGTTCTTACTTGTAGAAGCTTTGGAGCCTCTTTGCTCCTTAACAGCTCATTCTGCCTGCACGGACCATGAGTTGTGATGAGCTTCAGAATGAATGATTTGGACACCAGCAGAATACTGATGCTTTACAAGTGCGAGGTGGAGTCTGGCTGAGGTGTGGGACAGGCTTTCAGAGTGACCAGGCTTATTTTCCACTCCAACCCATCCATAGCTTTCTCTGGCAGAGAGTTTGTTGAGATTTTATTTCCTGTTGAAGGGTCTCAGCAGTCTACATGTGTAATCTCTGTGCATGTGATGTAGAAGAAAGTCCCTTATCGATGAAAGTAGAAATTGTGACTGAGACAGGGGTTGGCTGTGAAGTGCTGAGACCCTGAAATGGTCAAATCTGTACAGATGTGAGAATTTCCCTTTACTATAAAGAAAATTACAGGGTAGCAGGAGCTCTGTGTTGTCTCTGAGCAGCTCACAGGACACCGCAGGCCTTGGCTTACCACTGTGCGCTGCCTTTCAGGTTTATGTGAACAACGAGTGGGCGACCAGCGTTGGCGAGGGTGGAAGCTTTGGAGAACTTGCCCTTATATATGGAACTCCCCGCGCTGCAACCGTCAAAGCGAAGACGAACGTGAAGTTGTGGGGCATTGACAGAGATAGCTATCGAAGGATCCTGATGGCAAGTATTTGTCTAGCTGACGTGGTACCTGTGTGCTAACCTGGAATTATGCTTTTGGTTTTACTGTTCACTCAACCCACACTGGTCATTTGACCTTCTTTCTACTCCTGATGGAGTTATTTATTCAAAATCCCGTGATCTCTTGTTATCAGGAGTCTGATCACTCAGCATCTGTCTGTCAGGCACGAGGCAAGAGGGAATCTTGCATTCATGAACAAAACACTACCAACACAGTATTAAACTGGACTAAAAATGTGATACTTACTGGTTAACTTGTCACATACTTTGATTCTGCTCTGCATTTAGCTTGCTATTTGCAAGTAGTGTGTGCGAACAGCAGTTGTAACTACCTGGAGCAGGTGCTGTGAGTTTTGGCAAAGTGATACAGTTAGAATGCATTTAAGAAACATTTAAAAAGTATTTTATGAAGGTTGCTGAACTCTGAAATATTACTGAAATAGTTAAATTTGAAAACACTTAATCTTGTGGGTTTGGGCTCTGTGAGACAATGTCGTATGTCTGGTTAAATTCATTTGTGTCTTGAGCTTTATCTGAAGCCTCATGGAAGACATGAAGTAGAAAGCAAACTTACTTTGTGTGCTTTTTTTTTGGTAGGGGAGTACTTTGAGAAAGAGAAAGATGTATGAGGAATTCCTTAGTAAAGTATCTATATTGGGTAAGTGAAGATTTTTGTTCTGAAGTGGAATAAATTGCCATGTTGTAATAAAGCTGTTACCCAGCATTATTGCAGTTACAGGCTACTGTGGTAATCTGTTAAACCTGACTGCAAAGCCTGTACTGCTTTTTTGCATCATTCCCAAATAATTCTAATTCGGGTCTTGATATTTGATGCACAAATGTAGCCAGAAATAGGTTGACTTCTGTATAAAAACAGAGCAAAAAGTATAATTTGTGCCTTTGAAATATACTTTGTTAATGAGCTATTAACTCTACAGAATCTCTGGACAAGTGGGAGCGTCTCACTGTAGCTGATGCGTTGGAACCGGTACAGTTTGAGGATGGACAAAAGATTGTGGTCCAGGGAGAGCCAGGAGATGAGTTCTTCATTATCTTGGAGGTAAGGTCAAAATTAAAAGCTCAGAACTTTACTATTTTTTTTTATTAACATGGTTTATTCTGCCCCAGAGTAGATACTTGTAGAGCATTCCTAAAGAAATATAATCTTGCTGGACATGCAGAAACTTATATTTAGTTTAGCTATTTTTACAAGTAGTACTTTCAGGAAAAAAGTAACAAGTTCCTGAGTGAAACCAGTCTGTCTTTTTCAGAAGAGTAGAGCCCTGGCCTAGATAGCCAGTAATGTCTTACTAGTGGTGTCATTGTCTGTCTGGGTTGTTTTTTGAGGGTTTTTTTTTGCTAGTTATGCTGTAATATTGTTAGTGTTAAGAGGAAAAACAGGGAAGAGCTCAGTACTGTGGATAAAAAATGTCTTGGGTATTTATGTGCTTAGGAGGGAGGACCAGCTGTTTTTATAGAGCAGGCTGGTGAACTATGCAAGGACTGTGAAGTATTTTTTTTAAAGACTGAGACATCATGGCAGTTATTTCTGCAAGGCAGCTGATTTCTTGAGGAATTCAGTGTTTCAAGGGATGCTGGCAATTCCAATTGTTCCATTGCTGTGATTTATTAAAGGGCACAGCCGCAGTGTTACAGCGTCGATCAGAAAATGAAGAATTTGTTGAAGTGGGCAGACTGGCACCTTCTGACTATTTTGGTGAGTTACTTAGTGACAACTGTCATTACGCACACCACTGTCACCATTCTATCTGCGCTGTGTGGATGACAGTGCTGGGATGGATTTGCTTAATTGCTGTTTTGACTAACTCTTGTGGTTTCATTCAGTGTCAGGTGAGTACCAGAGTCAGTCAGCATTTGGGTGTGTGTGCATGTCACAGAAACGTGATCGTTCTCGAATACTTCAATTTAAAAGGGGCCTGGTGGTTATTTGGTTTGACCTCCCTGCTCTGAGCAGAGTTAACTTTGAAATTGCATCATGTTGTGTCCAGTCGAGTCTCTTGTGTCTCCAGGGATGGAGAACCCAAACCTCTCCGGGAAATTTCTTTCATCATTTAACCTGCCTTGTGAAGAATTTTTTTTCTTTATACCTAACAAGAATTTCCTGTTCTGCAGCTTGTTGCTTTCTCTCTGCCTTTCCCTGTGCAGAGAGCAGTCTCCTTCTGTCTTTATAATCACTAATTATGTAGCTGAAGGCAGCAATAAGATTCCCTCTGTAGCCTTCTTTTCTCCAGGTCAGACTAACCCAGCTCTTCCAGGGTACATCCTGTGCTGCAGTCCCCTGGCCATCTGGATGGCACTGCTGGACTTGCTCTGCTTCATCAGCACTGGGGACCCCAGAACTGTGTGGTCCTCTGGATGTAGTCTCCCAAGCACAGATCAGGGTCTTTTCTTCTGTTCAGGGTGTCCTTACTCAGCTCAAAGTTATGTGGTATGTAAGCCGCTTTGACTTGAAAAAGCTTGTGTGCTGGCAAAGAAAAAGGCTGAGATCCTGTTATAAATACATAACTTATGAAGACTTTGAAATAATCTTCACATGGAACTAATACTTGTCTAGTGCACGTTGATTTATTTTGGACCACAGATAAGGACTGGACGTGTATGCTCACAGAGCATTCTTGGAGTATAATGTAACAGTGTATGACAAGATATTCCTGGCGGCCTAATTTTGGGTTCAGAAGAAAAGTGGCCTGCAGTTCTGAAACAAAGCGAGCAACCTGTTCACAATTTAATGTTTAAATACTTCCTTCTCTCTCAAAAATAAACCCAACAAAACACAACAGCAAAACCTAAAAAATCCAACCCACCCTTATTTTTTTTTATCTGATGTTTATGGTGGGTTCTCTCTCCTCATTACTTCTAAGCCAGAGCTATTTGCTTGTCTGTTCAGTGTTTCAGCTTTGTAGATGTTGTAATCAACAAATACCTGTTGCAAGGCCTGCAGTGGGATGTACTCGAGTGCACCGACAGCACTGGAGCTGACCAAAGGTCTGCTTAGCTCAGCATCTGCCACTAGATGTTTGTTCTGCATTTATCTGTTCTATGTGTGTTGTTTCAGTCTCTTCTAATACTTCCCTTGATGTGTTCACTTGAGTTTCCCACTCGTAAACTAAACATCATCTCCACTGCTGTGTTCAGGTGCTGTTGCAGACCTCTGTCCCTCAGGGCTTTAACTCTCCCCTAGAACCTACTTGTTCTTTTGCAAGGCTGTGTTTTGGAGGCTGCTGTGTTCAAAAGTTGTAATTGGACACAGAGGAAAAGTTTCTCTCATTTCTTTTGAACATCCCTTCTGATAATGCAGGCAGATTTATTCTCTGAGGAGCACCAAGCTCTTTCCTCAGTCCTGAACGTGGAGAAAACCAGCCCAGCTGCTTAAAAACAAACCAACCCAAAAGCTAATGCAGTGGTTTCTTTCATGCTTGTTGCTAGGAATGTTAGGGGTAGCTGTTGTCACCAGTGGAAGCAAGGGCTTGTGGAAAAACCTGATTTCCAAATACGTCATTTAGCAGTTGTAATGAGTAGTTGAAACAGAGTTTTTGGCATCTTTGTGCATAACTTACATGAAATGAGAATCCAATGGTGCTTCAAAATACTCATCTTCCACAGCCCCGTGGCAAAGTCAAGCTCTTGATTCTGGCAAGCTGTGGGTCAAAGGATTTTGTCTTGTGCATTGCTTTTTACTTCAATGCCATTCTCTTGTTGTCCTGAGTTTCCTAGAAATACCAGAATTGAACAGTAGCATACCTTACATATTAGGACAATAACTACTTGTTGACCTGGAAATGTATGTGGTTCATTGAAACACGACCTTTTCTCAAGTAGAAACCGTGTAGAAAATTCTTTAAGCCTTCTTCAGAGAAACCTGAATGTGGACAAGCTTTTTAATTAAAAAATCATCAGGTTAGGTTGGTTTGGTTGGGTGTTCTTTTAAACTGCCTTCATGGTTCCTTCTATGTATTTTGTACATCCTGTGCTGTATTTCAAACTGCTGCAGGCATGAACAGAAGGCAATTCAGGTTCAGAACAAAGTATCTATGTAGTTACAACAGGTTTAATGCCTTCAGCTCCTTTGCACGTTGATTTTAACACTGTTCCCATTTTCCTGTTGCCCTAGGTGAAATAGCTCTGTTGATGAACCGTCCCCGTGCTGCCACAGTTGTTGCTCGTGGCCTGTTGAAATGTGTAAAGCTTGACCGACCCCGATTTGAACGTGTCCTGGGTCCGTGCTCGGATATTCTCAAGCGAAACATCCAGCAGTACAACAGTTTTGTATCGCTGTCTGTCTGAAACCTTCCTCCGTATCCGAACGTGCTTCACGAATGCAGACTGCTTTATTACCCTTGTGCAGAGCCACATTGCCACCGGCATTTGCAGCTTCCTGTCTGTTTAAAAAAAAAAACAAAAAAAAAGGAAAAAAATTTTAAAAAAAAAATTGCTAATCATGGCACTGTTTTTAATTTAGAGCATATTAGTTCTGTGCTCTCTGTCCCATTGAATTAATAGAAAAAGTTTTATGGAGACGTTTGCTCTTATGGCTTCTCTCTGTGCAACAGTGTCCAACTCAGGCAAACGCAGCCTTGCTTCAGCGAGGGAGAGACCTCCTGCCGCCATGCCAATTGCCATAGAGTAAAGAGGTGACAGCAGAGAGGGGAAAGAACGTTTTGTAAAGGTGTTTCTCAAGTGGCTGGACGGATTTTTAAGGCTATGGTCATAATCTGCTGTATTTCTTTTTAAATGAGAACTGCCCTTGTAATTGAGCTTCTTGGGGCTTGGGGTTTTCTTTTTTTTATTTTTACTTTTCTGGGTACTGTAATCCTGGGTTCAATCATGAGGCATCAGCTGCTAAGAAAGCCACAGTTGGAATTTAACAGTATAATTGTTCCTGTGTCTGCTGGTTTAAGATTGCTTAATTATGTTTTTGTCAAGTGTAAATCAAAGCTTTCAAGGTTAATAGTTCTGGTGAACTACTGCAGTCCTCACTTAATTTGCTGACTTGCCGCAACTGATTTTCTTCCTTGTCCTTTCTTCAGTGATAGGTTTGCTGTTTCAAACTCTTCCTGCTCAAAGTGGCAAGAACCAAATGTTACATGAAATGCCTGACTTTGGTCTCTAGTCCATAGGTTGGTGTAAGAATGGTGCAGCTCTTCAGCTGTTAGTAATGTTTGAGTAGATTGGTGTAGAAATTGGAAGCAAACATTTTCTTTTCCTGTGACTCTGGCTTGCTTTGTATTCCTCAGTTGACTTTTAAATGATCATCAGTTCAGGTGACCCTTGGTGACCAGGGAAAACAAATGTTGAGTATTTATGGCCAGCATCAGTTGTGAGTGGCAAGGTTGCTGGTCTGTGTCGATGCCATTACTCTTGGTAGAAAACGTGAGGCAGAAAAAGCGAATGTTTTAACTTTCCTGCTCAGTTATTTTAAGTTTTTAAATCGGTCAATTCATTATTTTTTAAAATGGCTAATTATGAACCTAGTCTAAATACAAGAGGTACATTCTCTTTTCTTGCTTATGGAATTTACAGGACGCATATTTCATACTCTTTTTTTTCTTTTTTTTTTTCCAAGTTCATTATGTTGCGGAGTCTTAAATGTATTTCAGTATTTACCAGCTTTGTGTTCCATTATTCTGTGCACACCGATACTTCCCAAAAGTTTTTACTGAATTCCACGGTTCAATAATGGTAGGCAATTTTTAAGGTTTCCTTTAAACTGTAATTTATATAAAGTAGCGTAGGTTTGTATTTGGGAGTGACAGCAAGCAGTTTTTGCATTTGTTGTGCAACTACTTCTAATGATGAAGCCCTCCCTTTATTTCCTTTCTGAGGTGATATGGATCCAAACTCACCAGACTTTTATCTCGGGCCTGTAGGTAATCAGAAAGAGTCTGCTAATTGATGAGGGTATCAAGCCCTTACAGAAGGGCTATTCAGGGTATTTATGAACCTGAAATCCCAGTAATGGGATTAAAATGCTTGAGGTTTGAGTTCTCTGTTCAGAAGATGTTGAGTAGAGGATTTCTGCCAGAGTCCTTAAGGAGCAAGCAAATCACAGAATCATGTCGGGAGTTGGAAGGGACCTGAAAGCTCATCTGGTCCAACCAGAGCAGTCACACAGGAACCAGGTGGGTTTGAATGTCTCCAGAGAAGGAGCCCACAGCCTCTCTGGGCAGCCTGGGCCAGGCTCTGTCTCCTGTGCTCCAGCTTGCTCCCATTTCCCCTTGCCCTATCATTGGGCATCACTGAGAAGAGCCTGGCTCCATCCTGGCACTCTCCGTATTTATAAATGTTAACGAGGGCACCCCTCAGTCTCCTCTGCTCCAAGCTCAAGAGCCCCAGCTCCCTCAGCCGCTCCTCAGCAGGAGATGCTCCACTCCCTCCAGCATCTTTGTGGCCCTGCTGGACTCTTTCAAGCAGTTCCTGTCCTTCTTGAACTGAGGGGCCCCGTTTTCTTCAGTTTTGACTCTATCCAGGTTTTTTCTTCATATATGTTTTGTGTTACTTTAAAGCACCAAAAACTGTGTAAACTAGTTAGAGCTCCACAAAAAAATAATGCACATTTTTTTTATATAAGGCTTTCTAATCAAGTTTCACTACTGCATCTTTTTAGCTTGCTGTTTACTCCCTTTTGTAGTTTTACCTACAAGATTTTAAGATAAATCAGCTAAGTCTGAGTTAAATATTAATCACAGTTATAGCTTTACCTTTGTGTGCAATTTAAATATGTTTGAAACCACAATTGGCATAGTTTTGCCTTAGCTAACATTCAGGGCTTTAGAAGTAATCTTTTGCTAGTCCACCTTTAGCGAATTTATGAAGTCTATTGCCCTAGAAAGCTATAGTCAACCAGAGGACCATTTTTGTATTGTTACCTGACTATATAAGTCTGATTTACTGTATGTGCTAATATATTATATTATATTCCTTTTGTTATAGATTGTCCTAATGGCAGGTAAAGCAATAAAACGATTTAAATTCTTAAATGCAATCAGTCTCTTTACTTTTTCCCTTTTCACAGAATATCAGGAGTTGGAAGGGACCTGGAAAGCTCCCCCAGTGCAACCCCTGCCAGAGCAGGATCACCAGAGCAGTCACACAGGAACACGGCCAGGGCTTTGGGTGTCTCCACACAAGGAGACTCCACAACCTCTCTGGGCAGCCTGGGCCATGCTCCATAACCCTCACCAAAGTTTGGCCTCATCTTCAGCTTGAGCCTCCTGTGCTCCAGCTTGGGACCATTGCCCCTTGTCTTGGCATTGGCCATCCCAGAGCAGAGCCTGGCTCCTTCCTCCTGACACTGCCCTTTCCAAATGGATCCCCAGGAATGAGGGCACCCCTCAGTCTCCTCTGCTCCAAGCTCAAGAGCCCCAGCTCCCTCAGCCGCTCCTCAGCAGGAGATGCTCCACTCCCTCCATCATTACAGCTCTGTGCTGGACTCCTTCAAGCAATTCCTGTCCTTCTTGAACTGAGGGGCCATTCCTATATCGTTTTCCTTTGAGGACACATGATTAATGAGGTCATAGAAACATTTTTGGTTACTTCATCCTGCCCTGCCTTTCCTCCATCTCCTTGATCAAAAATACAGGCAAAAACCATTTTATTACCTAAAGTGAAACTTTAAAGCTTCCACTTTCAACCGTACAACTTTACTTTTAAACTTATCTTCTGTTGCCGTGTTCTTCCTGTTCAAGCAGCCAACAGTCCCCATTCCATGATGTGACAAATTTGGGGCTTGTCACGTGCGGTAAGTGCACAAAAAAATCACCGGTAGAGGGAGATACAACTTTGGGAATCCAGCGTCCTGTGTGGAAATAACTGCTGCACCCTGCGTACCGAGCGTGAGTTAAATCCTTTTATTTCCATCTGTTCTCTGTTCACAAGAGTAAAAAGGCCTGTAAGCCCCAAAGTGTCGAGAATTCGGTTTGATGGAGACTAAAACCTTGCTTTTGTGAAAGCTGGAAATGAAGGGATGTGGCTAAATCACAATAAAGGAGCATGGTGGGGGGTTGTTTGGGGTTTTTTGGGTTGGTTGTGTGAGGTTTTTTGTTCACCTTTGTGCCTTCAAAATATTGGAGGAATCTCTTTGCCTCCTTCCCTTTAGATTGGCAAAAATCTCAGCCCATGAGAAACAGAGGCAGTGGTAAGGGCAGCAGCTTCCTGAGAACCCAAAAACTGCCTGGCTCCGCCTGTGCTGTGGTGTTGGGATTCTCCTTGGAAAGCTCTGCAGAGCTGTACATGGTTTTTGTTTAACTTGCACATTAGTTTAGAATGAGCTTCTAGTAGATCGGTTGTGTTTGGGGTTTTTTTTTTCCCCTTAACGATGATAAATTATCAACAAAGTTCTCCACTGCTTTCCCTAGGCTGCCAAAAAGCTCAGAGCAATCGTTCTTGAGTAGTGAAAGGAAAAAGCTATTAAAGAGAGCTTCAGTAACCAAGTTATCCTTAAGCCTTGTCACTGGGAGGCAAGGGAAAAATACACTTACACTACGGTAACTCCGTCCTCATGCTTCTCCAGTCTCCAGTTCCTATTGCATCTCCCCAGAATGCAGAGATGGGGGTGAGTGGAGGAGATACCCTTTCTATTTTCAGGGAATTTTGACAGCTTAAGTGATTTTAAAGGTATGAGAAGATGACCTGAGAGAGATTCCCCCCCCCCTCCACTTTGGGAAAATGTTTTCACCAGAAGTGGGTGGCTGCTTGACTTGTAAATACAGTTCTGTGCCCTGAGCAGTTTGCTGACCCAACTTGTCTTGTCTCAGCATCACGTACTGCCCTTGAGAAGTAACATTGCTCTTTTCTCAAATACAGAGTCTTGATTACAGAACAGAGACTTAATAAGAGAGGAAAAAGGCCTTGGCATCTCTTTATTCAAGCCTCATCCTTGGATCTGCTTTGTGTCCTTCCCTGGCAAGACCGAGACCCCACACAGGTTGAGCAAACCAATGGCCGTGTGTTCCCCCGCCCTCCCAAGGGCACGACCAAGCACAGCACAAGAGATCGCTGCTTTTCCACCAGGAGCTGGTATTTGGGGTGGAAAAGGCTGCTGCAGTCAGCCCACAACTTACCAGCGCACTGGGCAAGCCCAGGAGCTTTGGTTGAGTACCCAGTGTAGAGCCCAGGGCGATTCTTGAAGATCCACAGAGTTTCCCCTCTCAGTCTCGCAAGCGTTTGCGGTTGGAAGTTACCAGATATTAAAGCTTTCCACTTGCCTTGCAGGGTTATCCTCACCTCTGAGCATGAGTTCAGGATTAAGTGGCCACCTTCGCTCTGTCGGACGCGGGAGCCTGGGCCTGCGCGGTGTCGTTGGCCACCACCGTGGCTTCTCCATACGTGTCTATGCATTTCCTGACGGCTTTCAGGACGAGCTGTAACCGTCTGTCCAAAGCCAAGAGATGGGGCTCGGTGAGCACTGGTGCCAGGCGGTCCTGCAGGAGG